AGAACAGATTTTGACCAAGAAAGCACCTGAAAGCACCTGAAATCTCATCTTCCCTCCTCTATCTACAGGCAGACGAAAACGGCAACATCAACGGTGAGCTGCTGAGCGCGCAGATTGAAGAGAAATTGCGCGCCAATTTGGAGGGCTCTCCCGACGTCCTGGACGTCTTGTTGAACGCACTTGCAAGCTGCACCCTTCCGGCCACTGTTTCGGTGAGTTTTTTTTTTTCAATTTCACAGCTATATATATCTAAAAGTGATCACTACAATCCACGTGAGTATGGCTTCGAGTCTAACGTGTCCCGTCACCGTTGCAGGAGGCCCCCGACTTCCGCAAGTGCCTGGCGGTCGAGTGCATCCAGAACTTGCCATCCGAGAACTAGGCGCCAAGTTCCCCGACTGAGGAAGAGCCTCGTCGCCTTCCGGCCGACCTTCCGTTTTCTTTCTCCTTCTCTTTATCGGTCCTTTTAACGTCCTGTTTTTTCGGCATTTTGAGTTCGGTTATCTTTGATTCGGCACTGTTAATAATAATAATAAAAAAAAAATATTAAATTTACAGATTCTGTCTTTTATATACAATAACCCTTAATCAACAAAGCGTACTTTTTCTGACCAACCGTTGACAAGAAAAGTGTATTTCCATATAACTTCATCTACATTAAAGTCTTGGTCACTGATAAATAATGAATTCTGGCAAACTGTGGCAAAGTCCAACTGAATTTTGAAAATTTGTTATTGACTCCAAATGAGGAAACAGTAACCGCCCAAACTCAAATGGCTACGAAAGAATCTTCGAAACAGATAAATAGTTATTAACAATGAAACAGAAAATGAATCGAATAAAGTTAATATTTGTACGAAGGACCAACTAATCCCATGATGTTAGTCCTATGTTGCTGAATCCCCTTTTTAATTTTGAAAAATGTAATGCGATATTCCGAGAATTTCATCGCATTTTTTATGTATGTGTTCCTTCACTGTTCAACTAAGTATTACCTATCCTTTCAACTCCCTGGACCGTCTTCTCTAGACTTGGAGAACTGCCCTCTCTGCAAGTCTTACTGCCCGTCATCAACATTATCCTATGATGACATTATTGATCAGCGTCGAGAGTGACAGTTGATCAGCCTGACTGTCACCCAGTACTGTGATGCTCAACTAACTGGAGTGATTAATGGGAAATATGTGTGTGTGTGTGTGTGTGTGTGTGCGTGTGTGTGTGTGTGTGTGTGCTGTGTGTGTGTGTGTGTGTGTGTGTGTGTGTGTGTGTGTGTGTGTGTGTGTGTGTGTGTGTTTAATTAGGTTAATTGGATGATAGTTAATCTAGGCACAGTACTTGCTAGTTCTAGATTCTTATTGTTTGCTTTACAGATATCTATGTATTTAGTTTCATTTCCAATTTCTATTCTTGAAGTATGATTCACTTGTTGTCAAGGGTAATAAAGAATCAATTATTGAAATTTCCTAAATATGGACCTTATGTCTATTATCATTTTTATTTGCATTTCAAATAATCACATGAAATGTACAAACGTATTCTGTATACTGTTTACAAAATCATACATCTATATATATATATATATATATATATATATAATATATATATATATATATATATATATAATATATATATATATATATATATATATATATATACACTCCCCTTGAGTATGGAGATATTTAGAATCTCAACACTGAAGTTGAATAAGTTTTTTTGTTGAATGAAATGAGCCCATGTTAACCTTTTATTTTTGCCACTTCAAGGAAAGCCTGTAGTCCATGACATAAAACCAACTTATTGTACTTCAGGCACAGAAAAATTCATGTATAAGAGAAAGAGATGGCTTTACCATGCTAGTCTTCTTAATATGAATGTGGCTGTTGTATACTCACTCTATCTTATAAGCTGTGTGTGTGCTGTGTGTGTGTGTGTGTGTGTGTGTGTGTGTGTGTGTGTGTGTGTGTGTGTGTGTGTGTGTGTGTGTGTGTGTGTGTGTGTGTGTGTGTGTGTGTGTGTGTGTGTGTGTGTGTGTGTGTGTGTGTGTGTGTGTGTGTGTGTGTGTGTGTCTGTGTGTCTGTGTCTGTGTGTGTCTAGGTCTGTCTGTTTGTGTGTTTGTCTAGGTATGTATTTGTATGTCTTTATCTGTGTCTGTCAATTACGGAAAGATAATTCAATATAAAAATACAAACTTATACATAACCATAACATTTCTTTATTTATTTTCATTAAAAAGGATGGTAAAAAGTATCTAATTGTGAAAAATATTCAATGAAACTAATGTCAATCATTGTCAGCTTTTACCACCATCAATACTACTAATCTGTTTAGCCAAAAAAAAAAAAAAAAAAAAAAAAAATCTGGTAATGTAATTATGAAAACAAGAATACATATATAATTCACAAATAATATTTGTACTTTTTCTTCCCTTCTATTTTCCTTTTTTATCCATATATCATCCACCCTGTAACCTTTTACATTACAACACCCTTCATTAAGTTCTTACATTTATTGCACTGAAATACCTACTCAGACATGACCTAAATTTTGAAGGAACACCACACCGTACACTGGTATGTTTCACTAACAGTCTCTTACTAAGAAATCCACAGCCACATTCCCTAAACTTCTCTGATGTATGATTAACCACATGTTTTCTCAAACTGTACATACTCTTGAACTTTTCCTGCATTCCTTACACATGAATGGTTTGATCTCGACACATGTAAAGGAATGATTGTTGTTGCTTAATGGAATAACAAAATATTCCCTACAGTCTAAAGAACTGAGCAGACCATGACTATTCTCACCTCCAATTATTTAATTAGCATTCTCCCCAATGACAATCTCAGTCTTCAAGTTAAGACCTTCCGAGTTCCCTTCTTTGCTCTTCAGACAGGACAAACTAACAATACTAATGGTTTTGTTAGAGTTTATGATCTGTTCATGACTAAAGATGTCTTCAACAGACCTCTCTTCAACATTTGCTCCGCTAGTCTTAATGTTAAAAACTCCTTGTATAGGATGTAACTTCCTCTCACTGCATTCTGGAGTTTCCTTGTATTCTACTTCATCTTTTTCCCTCTTTATTAGTAAACCATGAGCAGGTTGGCACTGGTCCTCATATGTGTCATGAGGTTGGCACTTGTCATGTGTCATGAGGCTGGCACTTATCATCATGTGTCATGAGGCTGGTATGATTGTCATGAGGCTGGTACTTGTCATCATGTGTCATGAGGCTGGTACTTGTCATCATGTGTCATGAGGCTGGTACTTGTCATCATGTGTCATGAGGCTGGTACTTGTCATCATATGTCATGAGGCTGGTACTTGTCATCATGTGTCATGAGGCTGGTACTTGTCATCTTGTGTCATGAGGCTGGTATATCTCCTCATATGGTGATGTGTATAGATGTTTGAGTTCTTCCCCACTGCTATCTTGCTACTGGTTGAAGGCTTCTGTTCTTCCATTGTTGTGCATCAATCTAAAAGAACAGAAAATAACCATATCTTCTTATTACTGCCAAATACAAATTCAATAATTTTGAATTACAAAATAGGCCTATCTAATCATCTCCCATGATGAATTTGCTTGTTTCTTCCTTAATTTAGAATCTCTGCATGTAATAGGAAATAATGTAAGTGGCACAGTGAAAAAGTTGATAAAAAATTATTAATTGTAAACAATATCAACAATATAAGCCACATAATTGAGAATTATCAGTTATTACTATGTAAACATTTCTCTCTTCAAATTTTAAACATTGGATTATTTTGGTGATCACACAAAAATTAATTATAAGATTACCTTCATGATTTATAAACAATTTGAATCCAGGGACATTACCCATAAATACACCTAAAGCCTGCAATAAAGCCTTGTCCAGCCCAAACAAATGCCCGCCTCGACAATGGTCATCACACGTTATAGGAAGTGATATGGTAATTCACCTGCTTTCAGTAGGCAAACAAAACATTTCTGTGCTTATTCATATCTCAATTAATTTACCTTTACTGTATTGAGTTGTTCTCTAACCAACAAAACATTACAAATTAGCAATTAACTCAATATGAATCTACATCCTTATTTACATGCCATAATTAGGAAAAATACCCTTTCTATTGCTGTATAAAAAATCCAAATGCTAACAAAAAGTTGTATTAAAAGTAACATGTCTGTTAACATTAACTTATTTACATGTCCTAATTAGGAAAAGTACCCTTTCTGTTGCTGTCTACTCAAAAAATCCAAATGCTAAAAAAAGTTGTATTAAAAGTAACATGTCTGTTAACATTACCTTACCTTGTTAACCTGATTTTGTATCTTGGTAGTTACAAGTATTCCTTCAATTTTGGCCATGTTTCTCCCTAGTCCTTATCTGAAAAAATATTAGTGAATTAAAATAATCAAATATCTGGTTATCCACAGTAGAACATCTATGAAAAGCAGAATAACTTTATGAATTTATGGTGAAAACATTTTCAAATCATATAAATCAAGATTGTGGTCGCTGTTTATTGCAAGTGTCTTATTCCACTTATTTACTATTTGTTAAAATAGATAAATAAATAAACATTAACTTCAAGAGCCTATAATTTTGATAATTTGCAAGAATATGAAATGACATCTTAGGAGCCCTCGTCCATGCATCTCTGAGAGAGTGACAAGCCATTATACATGCTGGTTCCAAGGCAGTAATGGGCAGTTTCTTGTTTGTAATAATTTCAATGTACTGGTCCCTGTGTTCTTTATATCACAAAGGATTCTTACTTATAATGTAGTATGTGTATAGTGGATATCTGAATGACCTTTTTATGTTCTCCATGGGCAATAATGGTTTTTACTGTGAATAAAACCACTCCCACATATCAGGCATCAATGATCAAGGCTTGCTTGTTGATCCAGGCATTTTAACCAGGGAATGATAGAATGGTAGGAATGGTTCTTGGCTTCTCAGAAAGAATTCCTGACCAACCAATCCCCTTCTAAAAATGCTAATGGCTAGGATAAACATGTCACTTTCAATTGGGTCCCAGATGAGAAGTGAAATCAGAATTGCTAACAGACAAGCAAAGCATGGAAGGGAGCTGCAGGACAGACGGGTGTACAGTATCAATTCAAGACAGCGAGAATCTGGCTATCTTTCAGGTAACTGGTAATTTAAAGCCATGAAGTAGAACTCACACTGGCACTCTGTCTTGAATCACCATATGATGTGATTTGGCCATCTTTGTGCACAGTTTGAAGACTCTCATAAGCTAATGCAATAAGCCAAATATCACAACCTCAAGGAATCCAGGCCCCACATGACAAACTCAACTTTAAAAGGCTGAATGTACTACTTGCTTACCTACAAATTTGAGTAAAAATATATACGTAACAATACTTACAACTGAGATAACTGGAGACTTGGACAGACAAATTCCCTTTACTCTTATGGTTAATCCAGTAATCTACCCGGAGCTTCTTTAACTGTCAAACTACTCTGCAAATAAGAAATATGACTTAGAATCATTACTTTCACTTTAATTAATTCTTCTAAGACAGCAATAATAATTCTGCGCCCCTTTCTTTCTCTCTTTTCTACATATAGGAATTGAGAAGAACACACGTGGAATTCATGTCAAACAAATTTTAAAAGTAACAATGAAGGAAAGAAAAAGAAAACATGAATATGGCGAAGGCTTTTTCACTGTATTGCTTCTTCAGGGTATCTTTCTCTGACGAAGAAATACAGTGAAAAGGACTTTGGTATATTCGTGTGTTTTCTTGTTTTTCCCTTTGTTGTCCCTCTTGCAGGAAAATTAGAAGACAAATAAGAAATATGACTTAGAATCATTACTTTCACTAAATAAGAAATATGAGAGCCTTTCTATCAAGTGATGACTCTATTTTCAACTATATTTCATGGAATATCTTGACATTCATTGATTTTTTTTTCTTTTTTCTTATCATCAAAATTATGTGAATATGGAAACCCAACTGACTATAGAATTGAAACATGTATTATTCTTATTTGCAGAGTAGTTGACTGTTAAAGAAGCTCCGGGTAGATTACTGGATTAACCATAAGAGTAAAGTGAATTCATCTGAACACTCCATTCTGGACAACTGGGTAATTTTCCATAACAGTAAGGCAAGAAGAAGGAATATCACCGATCCATTTTATGTTCTTGTTAGTGTCAACAAAACTTCCCCACATATATTTTGGCCCAAGAATATCTAAAATATTAGAAAATAATAATACAAATAATAATGGAAAACAGCTAAGGCTAGTTTCGAGCTCTAACTTGCCTACAATTATTACATCTCCTTTCAATACTTTGATTTTATACTTTAAAGTGTGGATTAATGTATTCTTTATAGCCATTTTCTTTATTTTTTCTCTATCATGTACAGTCCTAAAATTATTACAGATACATTTCTTTGCCAATAATAAATGATATGTAACTGTTATTAAACATATCTAATGATTTTTATTATTTTTCTTTCAGTATCAAATATTTCTAATGATTTCTCCCCAATACATTTATCTCATAAAATTACTTTATAAATAGAGTTTCATCTTTACTTAATTACTATTGAAATTATATTTTTGTCTATATTAAAAGACTGCAATGAATAAAAATATGAGAGCCTTTCTATCAGGTGATGACTCTATTTTCAACTATATTTCATGGAATATCTTGACATTTAGTGATTTTTTTTTTTCTTATCATCAAAATTATGTGAATATGGAAACCTAACTGACCATAGAATTGAAACTCATGTATTATTATTATTAGTTTTATCCTTTGTAACAATAACAACCTTAATCTACTGAAAAGATAATTTGCCAACACTAAATAGAATAATTATAGACATGCATTATACTCTCAAAAACTATTCACATCATAATATAGCGTCTTTTTGCGCAATCATAATAAAATCCTAATCAATCCATACACAAATAGTGATTAATAGTCAGGAAAGAAGAAATCAATAATGCATAAATAACACTTAAATTGTCTCTCACATATACTATATAAAATTGCAACATCTGTGAACTCTCTCTTCACACAAATTGCCTGCAACAGATGCCTTGACTTCCGCAGTTGCAGACATTGCACCGATCAATCACGTGCTTGTGAGGTCGTACCGTGACAAGCACATTATCTTGTCATGTGAGGTCGCTCTTTGGTGCATTTCTCTTGTTGGAAATGTTTTTTTTTTTTTTTTTATTATTTTGACGGTCTTCATTTTCGTTTGATTAAATTCGGGTATTTTATATCTTTTATTTGTAAGACTCTGTCTGTCTGTCTCTCTCTCTCTCTCTCTCTCTCTCTCTCTCTCTCTCTCTCTCTCTCTCTCTCTCTCTCTCTCTCTCTCTCTCTCTCTCTCTCTCTCTCTCTCTCTCTCTCTCTCTCTCTCTCTCTCTCTCTCTCTTCTCTCTCTCTCTCTCTCTCTCTCTCTCTCTCTCTCTCTCTCTCTCTCTCTCTCTCTCTCTCTCTCTCTCTCTCTCTCTCTCTCTCTCTCTCTCTCTCTCTCTCTCTCTCTCTCTCATTGCCTGTCTACCTGTTTGTGTTCCTGTATATCTATCTATCTATCTATTTTCATGTTGTACTATAATATATCAGTCAACCGTGGATTGCGAGTCCTATTATGATCTGTTCAGAGATAAGCTACCAATGTTTTGTAATGCAAAATAATGAGTCATATTTTTGTCGGCAAAAATAACGACACGTCATTCTTCATACAATGGAATATATTGTAAAAAGTATTTTGTTGCCTTTGAGAAGGTAAGGAAATTTTGTAATAGTCAACCATCAAATAATGACAGAAAACGTAGAAAAGGAAAATGGGTAAATCAGCTGACAAACGTAAACAAATACATGTGCGAGATCTAGGCGCTGTTGGGTGCCAATGCAGTTTCTGTGTGCACAACGGGAGAGGTAATTTAAAAGCCTAGCAATGTTATGAAATATGAGGAAATTGTTTTTAGATGACTTAGTACGTAAGAGTAACGTATGACTAAAATTACGGGTATTTTTTTGTAATATATCCGCATAAGGGATCGCGACGATTTCGGTTTCGTTGGATTCCTATCACTGCCTGCAACGCATTCTTGACCCCTATAGCAGGGCAGGGCATGAAAGGTACCAGGGAAAATCGGGGTAAAATGTAAGTAATATACCCAGAATCAGTCATTTTATAGTTTAATGGAGGCGGCTGCGCCCCCTGCGACCTCCTCATGGCGGCTGCAACCCCCCAACCCCCGCCAAGGAAAACAAGGAATTTTACATGAATTCATGGCAGGAGAGAGCTTTGGACATACTTGGCAATGCTGCTCCTGCATGGCAATCATAGGCTCTTTTCTGTAATGAATACTTGCTTTCCTGAGTAGGGGTTCAGTGTTGCAGGACAATATAGTGACTGATATTGTGTATATTTACATTTTACCCCGATTTTCATTTCATTTTCTCATGCCCTCCCCAGCTATTAGGGCAAAGAATGTGGGGGTTAAGGGTGTTTCCGTGAAATAATATCTGTATATTTTGAAACTAAATGTGGGGCTCTCAGGGCCAAGAATGTGTAGTATTGTTTCCGTGCAATAATATGTATATTTCGAAACTAAGTAGTGAGAGGAATCTAATGATACCAAAATCATCGCAATCCATTTTATGGACATATTAGAAAACATTATCAAATTACTGTTCTCTCTTCCTTACAGCGAGAAACACAAGGAATAGAAGTGGACACTCTTCGTACGCAAAGAACAAGAACAGAATGAAGCAACTGGAGTCTAAATATTGGTACTTGAAAGTGCACATGTAAGGATCTATTACTTTTGATCGTAATAAGTTTGGTAACTATTATTGTAAGTATTTAGATAATGCTTCTGCGTATCTCTCACATTGGCGAGTTGAGCATCGCAAAGGATATGAGTTATATTAATCCCAATTTCAATTTTAAGAATGTTAATGATGATAATAATAGTATTTCTTTTTTTTCAACATATATATTTAATATTTTTGTGGTGTATTTTTTTCATTGTGTCATAATGTACGTTTTCATTGATGCTTTGCTAGCTTAATGAGGGCATAGGCAGAAGGGAAGATACAATGGATGGCTTAGCAATCTGTTTGCTGACTAACTGGTATCTTATTGAGCAGAAAGAGAATATACTTTTTCTTATCTCTGTGTGAGTTTGCAAATGAACTGGCTAGAAAATTGCATTGTGTTGCCTCCTACTCATGTCTATGCTTGTAAACTAGTGCAATTTTCCATCACTGATCAGCTGCTAGACTTCAACTTTAGCAGTTAACCATCTCACAGCCTGCTTGACATTCTGGCTAACAGTCCTTTTAGCCTTCCTCTGACCCTCCTCTCTCCTTTGTCATGTTTTTACTATCTTCCTTGAAAGATTTCTTTGAATCTGCATCTTCAGATAAAATCTTTCTCAATTTGTTAATGGTCATTTTACCATATCTAGTGAACTTTTTTGTAGTTTATTGCCATGATAAATTTTCCTTTAACATTGATGTTGACCAAATATCATTTATTCTTCAGTGTCTCATAAAAAAAATAGCATTTTCCAAAAGTAATCATAAATTTATGTTAATATTCATTCTGTATCTTACTTCTGTTATATAACAAAGATAGTTTTTTTTTGTATTTTTTTCAGGTAGAGAATATGAAAGTCATTATAAGCTGATATCCTCTTATTACCCTTGTCTGTTTTTCAGGGATTATGAGAGAAAGAACCTTCCATTCCAACTAACAGCAGAACTTGTCAAAGTAGTCATTGTTGGTGCAATAGATATAATGTTTGGTGAGGTAAGTTTAGCTGTCTTGGTTTGTTTTTATGGTACTGTCTTTTCTTTCTTTCTCCTTTTTTTATGTGTCTGGTAATATTTTTAGAAGTAAAATGTACACAATGATTGTGTCATTGATTTTGAAGTTATCATAACTTCCACCAAGGAGGTTATGTTTTTGGTAGCTGGTTGGTTGGTTGGTTAGTTA